GTGTTGCCAGTTCTTCCATCCTGCTCCACCAGCAAGGCACGAGGAAGAAATCACTGAAGTGGAGGATGCAGAGCTGAACCCAGAGAAGACATTTTAAATACAGCACAAGATGGAGACATGCAGGTTCTGCCAGTCATTTATATAATCTGCTGGGGTGGGGGGGAGGGGGGGTTGTAAACTATTGTACACATTTATCTAGCGCATACAATGCAGCAGATGTGTGCGAATCTATGTGGAGATTTATTTTGAAGGGTCCTCATTAGTCTCTGCATAGGCAGAAACTACTCTTCCTGAGGCCCAAAACGCTCCAAATAAACAATAAAATAAAATCAGTAAAATAAATAAATGAATCAGAATCAGCCAACACAAACCTTAAAACAAAGAAACCAAATTACAACAGCAAAATAAATCTGCTAACTCAGATGTGTCTAAATACAAAAGAAAACAAGATAAAATCCTACTAAATCATACGTTTAAGAATTGACAACTGTTTTACTGTAATGTCATTGCAAAGGATGGGCTTTTTAAGAATCATTTTCAATTTATTATATATATTTCTAAATTTGTTAGGTTCAAAGGCAACTTATTCCAGTAAGAAATGTTTAGACAGAACTGTATTTTCAATGCATTTGCTCTTGGCAGAGGTAAAGCAAAAAAATAAAAATAAAAAAAAAACCACCAGAAGCTTATCTTGTATTAAAAGCATGTCTGTCTGCAGTGGCAGCTGTGAAAAAGGTCAAAAAGTTTTTGTAACATTTTAGTTTGATATAAAAAGAGAAGAAGACTGTATATGAGTCTTTCCTTGACTTTCATCCACGACAAGTCTTGATGCATTAAATCAACATTGGTCCTAAAATCACAGCCCAGTGCTAATCTTGCAGCTTTGTTTTGAAGCCCAGATGGTTTTATAATTGAACGTGACAAGTAACTTAACAATTAGCAAGCATATATTTTTCTTTTTTTAAGTGCTTAAAAAGTGAGGAAATTAACAGAATAAAGTTAAATAACAAAATAGCTGACACATGACCTGAGAAATCATTCTTTAGGTTATTTATGTTCAGTTGGTCAGAGATATTCTGAAGAAAAGAAAATCTGAAGTCTGTTTTGTACTTATACAAACAACAGACTGAAAATCGGTGGCAGTTATACATACTGATGAACTCAATTTTTAAATTTTGTATCTAATTTTTATATGTTGAGTAGATTAGGACAGATGTTTTGGTTTTGTTTTGTTTTTTTACAATGAATCAAGTATCATTGAAACACGGTGGAAGCTTCTTCATCATTGGAGAATGTATCTCAGTGTTGAAAATGTTGACGATATGGGATAATAACAAAAAAAAAAACTGCCACATTTTTTTCACCACATAGGAGTAGCTGAATAAAGTCTGATTGGCAACAGCCTAAGTTTTAGCCTGATGATTTAAAGAGCTTTAAAAGAGTCATTTAAAAATGGAAGCCTGAAAACTTCCCAGGATTAAACTTTAGCAAGTTTGCTTGCGTAATTTTATATTGTGTTGGAGAACAAAGAAAGTATAATCAAATATTGACTTTTGTGCTCAATAAAAATTTGGATGATATAGTTTTGCTTTTATATTTCATATATATTTGCACACTTTTCATTAAACTGCTGCTCTTATTTACCAGTTCTGTTTAATATACTAGTACCTGGAAGAAACATTCACTCTGATGGCATTCTGATGATAAAATAAATGTATGCACTCTTTTTTCATACTGTATATAATAAAAGTGTGTTACCTGATGTAATCTGCTCTCTTGAAATGCATTTGTTTTCCTGCTGTTCATAAAGGGAGGGTCAAACTCTAAACCAAGCATTTGGGCAAACTTTCCACTTCCCTTATTGTAGATCTAACTGATCAAAGACAGGGTGTCTCTGTAAAGGGGTGTTTGTCTTTAGATTTATGGTTCTTGAAGAAACATTTTTTCAGTGCGCATCAATGACTTCCTTCTGCATTTTGCTACGCTTTTCAGATATCTCGTTTGCCATTAATCATGTGATGAGCTGTGACACTAAAATCTTAAAGGCACAGTGTGTGGGATTTGTTGTTTTCAGCAACATCTAGTGGTTGAGTGGTTGAATCATCCTCCCTGATCCTCCCCCCACCCCCACCCCCCGCTTCCAAACACAAAGGAGTTGCTACGGTGTCTCTCAGGTGTCAAAAACCTTTGATAATTCCKACCGCGATGTCTACCAGCAGCTTCAGGGCTAGTGATGTTTCAAGTGGTAAGATTATGAGCTTTAATAAGTAAAATTATKCCAGCTACAATGACAGACAACAAATATTACATTTATAGTATTACAACTAAAACCATTTTTGACACCGCCACCGCAGTTTGTCCTTCATGAGCCTTCGTAGACAAGATGGCGGCTGCCTGTAGTGGCGACCCGTGACCATGGAGATATGAACAGCTTTTATAAGGTAAAAAAAATAAAACAAGGTCTGTGTCTGTGTAGGGTTTTTTTTTTTTGGGGTACATTCTAAAATAGATAATTTGTGAATATATTTAAATATATTATATTTAAATACAATACTCCTCGAGGCACCACATTCCTTAATTCGATCAATTATTGACCCAGGAAAGAGATGAAAAACTGTAACTTTACTGTAATCAGTCTCAGAATAAATTTACCCAAAATGATTTCATGAATTCTTGTCATCAAAACCAGGAGTATCTTCATCAAGACACAAAAATGAGATTAGAGTATGTTGGCTAGTTCTCCACGAGCCGTTTATTTACAGATTAAATGTATTTACAACAATGGCATGTAATTAATGAATAATGACATGTTGAACCAGGTAAAAAGCTGAGAGAGTTTGTTATCACGAGTGAATGAACAAACAGACAGACAAATAAACAAACAAAACAAATGAACAAAAATAAACACTGAGAAGTGAGTTTGAGGCCTGGAGTGAGGTGAGGTAAGCTGCCTTTAGCTATGTATTTAACTAAGGACTCCTAGTTAAATTAAGATCGAGAAAAATGTTTAGTTTACCAAATCTCATACAAAGATAAAAATCAAATTTACATCTGAGCACWTATGTGTCACCAGTACAAATGTTCACCTTTACACTGTTGTTCTGCCTTGTGGGCACCAGGAGGGTGAAGTCAGCGGTGGCAGGTCATTTCTGGGGTTCGTWCTCCAGACAGCTCTCCATGCAAACTGGACATCAGGCGCGGTCTGCCTGATAAACTCGACTGGTCCCTTGGTCAGAAAAGGGGGTTCTCTCTCTGGTGACTCGTAGTCTGGTCCTTCACAGGTGGCTGCCAGACTCTTAATTTGATCTTCACTTTGTAGAGAAACACGAACTAAAACGACACATGAATTACCATTAGCTTATTTYACTCCTATAAAATCAAACTCAGAGACTGAGTCGAAGTGGGATGAGCGAGCTATTCGGATCAATCAGCAGAAGATGTTGAATGACCCCCCCCCCACCCCCACCCCCAATCCTGGTCAGCCGAGGGAGGGCTGGCAGGGGGTCTCTGCCGAGCTGTGAAAGCTGTTTCTAGCTTCAAAGACAAACCAACTGACTGACTGACTGACTATCTTGGGAGTTGCACTAGCTTTTTAAAACCTCTGTTATGGGTGGAGTCAAGGTTTGAGTTAGCCAATTGAAAAATATTACATCAAGCTTTTAACAAATCAAGTGTTTGGAAGGAAAACTTTGCTTCAAGACAAAGGAAAGGGAGTGTTTTAGTCTACGGTAATTATCTTGCATCTAATTAAAGGTTGAGACATCTTGTTTACCTCAGTAAAATAAGAATGTCACATTTAGTTAAATACAAAGTCTAAGGTTTCTAAGGTTTAAATTATGTAATTAAAACACAGTTTAAAATCATGAAATAAAAGAAACATCTTTTTTAGGAAAAAAATTCATCAAATAAAAACGAACAGTTAGAACAATGTCCTTAGTGGGCAAACAGTTAAAAAGAGAACACAGTAGCTTTTGTTCTTTCCGTAAAAAGGAACAGGTTAATCACATTTCTTTGTTTAAGATATAGGAAAACAGACAGTTGTATAAAAACATTCAATCTTAATGAAGAAAGTAGGTCCTTTGTTCTCAGTCACGCTGAAGAGTCTGGTTAAAGGCATTATGGTCCCTTTGAAGAGGAACCAACAGTCTTGTGCTTATGGGGGATGGAAGCACAGAACTTGTGGGGGTTCAGAACAGGAATGTGACAATTCTAATCTATTAACAGTAAGYCGTCAGGAAGTCTGGTGGGGTTGGTGTGAGAGATGTTATCAGTCACCGAGGAAGTTCCATGCAAAAATCTTTAGAAATAGTCTGAAGGTAAAGTGGGATTTTCTTCCTTCCTAAGCCGTTGTCACAAGTGAAATCTAATCAGAAATGATTATTTAAATGCAGGAAAATGCTACAAATCCCCCCGATTATAAACAATAACTATGAAAAGTTAGTGGGTTATAATCACGTGGTGTTTTTCCTGCTTCTTGTGGCATGAACGTCCTCCATGTCCTTCCTCATGCGTGTGTGAGGGATCAGTCCCTTAGTTCTGGAGCAACAGTCCTAGAGCGCTCTTCAAAACAATAGAAACAAAGTCAGTAATCCACAACAGYTCAGGGTTATTTCCATACCAAACCAGAGTTTGTTCTAGAGAAGGCAGGCTGTCTTTGGCCTCTGGGGGGGTAGGTGCGAGTCGACCTCTGGAGGCTGATGGCGTCGACCTCTGGAGGGTGATGGCGTCGACCTCTGGAGGCTGATGACGTCGACCTCTGGAGGCTGATGACGTCGACCTCTGGAGGGTGATGGCGTCGACCTCTGGAGGGTGATGGCGTCGACCTCTGGAGGCTGATGACGTCGACCTCTGGAGGGTGATGGCGTCGACCTCTGGAGGCTGATGACGTCGACCTCTGGAGGGTGATGGCGTCGACCTCTGCAGGGCTGATGTGGGATCACTGGATCTTGGGCATGTTAAACATTTGCATGGGGAGACATCAGGTGCTCAGTAACTAAATGGTATCTAGAGATTAGCATATCGTTCCTAATGAACAAAACAAATAAAATAAAACCCTAAGGTTTAAAACGCATGTATAAATGTCGGTTGACTTACAAGTGAAATAAAAAATGATAAGCTAATAGTAATAATATGCTAACAGTGATTTTCTAACATCACTGGGCTCCTATTCATTCTAAAGAACTAAAAGAATATCTTATGCAAAATATCTCTTTGTTTTTCTTTAAAGGGGTACATGCAAAGACTTTAGCTTATCAAAAGAAAAGGAGATATTTAAAGGGTCACATGGAACAGTCCTGCCTAACCATGTGTAAGCCTGTAAAAGACTTATTAATCAACTTTTAACACATTGTTCGACTGAGTGTGAGCAAACTTAACAACACAAACTTCACTGAGTACCTCCTATACTAGCTGTAGTTAGCATTTGTTAGCGGTTAGCTCCAGGCTGAACTGGTGGTCAAGAAAAGTTAAAGGTTTTTAGTTTAAAGATGTTAGTTTAAACTAATCTAAATAGTTGAGTTTATCAACTTTGATGTTAGATTCCTAAAGAATCTTTAATGCTGAGATTTTTTTCCTCAGATGAGTCTTAAGTAATTTTTCTTTGTTCGTTAGTCTCATTAAAATATTTCTTCTGTAGCTCTGTGGCTTTTTTTTGTTTGTTTGTTTGTTTGTTTTGTAGCTCTGTTGCTTTTTTTAGCACTTCTGAAACTCACAATAAGGCTGTTTCTTTTTTCTTTGCCTTTATCATCAGAGAGTTTAGCTTATTAGCGAGGCGATCTGTTCCAGACGTCAGACGTCTGGTTTAAAGCTCCAGCAACGATTTAGATCGGTGCTGTAAAAAAAAAACAATTACTTCCCCCTTTGGGGAAACTTTTAGCAAACCGGATTCTCAGATTAGCTTGTTCAGGCTTTTCTCAACCTGGGTGTGAGCATGTAGCTCTAAGAACAGAATTTATCACTTCTTTGTGGTTAGCACACTTCTGTGAACTTCATTATCACTCTATGATAATTAGATTTCAGCACAGCAACAAAGGGGTTTTCTCAGCTTCCCTTTTTCATGAACTCCTTTTTCGTTTTTCTGATAAACGGCTGGGTTCAATTAAATTTACCTTCCCTGTTCTTATTTTGGTTTATAAG